GTACATATGTGTACCGAATGAATTCGACGAGCATACCCATACCACTTTTGTACGGCTAACTTAGTGCAGTAAAACGACATTCGAGCAAACCAAAAATAACATTACCAGAACATGAAGAAGGTGAGCTTATGACAAATGTTGATTTCAGGTGTTGCAAATCCAAGGCAAATTTGATTGATGCGAATTCCGTGGACTATTCAAAAAGGCGATTTCTCAGGTGCCGGAGAAGGCACTATTGCATGCGGAATAGAAGCATCGTGAGTATGTTCCCATTCAATTTACTAATCCAGGCCAATAAGGTGGCGTATGTGGTACGTTTGCCTGTGTGATGAATAATGTTGCATTTCAGAAGTAGATGTCGCTTGAGCTCCCCTGTGTGGATGCGCCTGATGTGAATGTTGACAAGGTGCCTACCTGTCCATTACAGACTACCTCTTTCATACTGGCTCCAGGAGACAGTTGGTCGTTGCCAGTGGGGACGGGATGCACTGTCCTCGTGACGGTGCTAGGCTTAAAGAGTTGTTCCATCCTGTGTGGAACGGGCTACGGTCCAGCCACCGCCTTGTGTACGTCTGGTGTGTATGATTTCCCAATTAGGCCGGAGTGCTTCCGTTCTGCATGTTGAAGGAGTGTGAGCCGGCTCCGTTGATGAAACGTGGCTCCCATGCATATGCCTCCTGGTCTTATTCCTTCGGGTTTACACCGGATATGGGGTGTGTGGGTGGAACTATGGGTGGTGCAGCGCAAACCACCCATGGTCCCTCTGTAGGCGCAGCCGTCCTGTGACTGCCCCCATGGACGTCACAGTGACAGGCAAATCCGGATACGGACGCCGCCATATCATGTTGACATGGTGCGCCCCTTGCTGAGGCTGATGTTGCATTCATGATGCTTCTTCAACGCAGCTGGGCTAAACCAACTTACACTTAAACTAGGTCTTTTTAATGTGGATAAAATTCATTACATGTTATTTGGTTTGTTCTGCGTACTTGACAATCTTCTCCTTACTTGCACACGTCGCTCACGCAAACTGTGGTAAAGTTGCGTAATTTTATCGCATGGTATTTGTTAAAGAACTTTCGGACATTTTGTATTTATCATGGATTCACTTATAACCAATTTCTTCTATATGCTCATTTAGCGAGTATTTATGTCGTCATATGCGTTTACTTTAATCGATAACGGCATTTCGAAAGATTGGCTGTTGTTTGACATCCCACGTGTGGCTGCGCTTGATATGCATGTTGACAAGGTGCCTACCTGTCTACTACCCACTACATCGTTCATACTGGCTCCAGGAGACAGTTGGTCGTTGCTGGAGGGGACGGGGTGCACGGTTTTTGTGTCCGTGCTAGGCTCAAAGAGCGGTTCCATGCACTCAGTGTGGAGCGGACTACGGTCCAGCCACCGCCTTGTGTGCGGTTGATTCCCCAAATACAGCGTGCTTGTCTTTCCCTGTGAAGGAGTGTGGGCCGGCTCCGTTGATGAAACGTGGTTCCCATCCGCATGCCTCCCGGTCTTATTCCTTCGGGTTTACACTGGATCTGGGGTATGTGGTTGGAGCTGTGGGTGGTGCAGCGCAAGCCATCCATGGTCCCTCTGTAGGCGCAAGCGTCCTTTGGCTTGCCACAGTGACAGGCAAATCCGAAACCGGATGCCGCCAACCATATATATATATATATATATATATATATATATATATATATATATATATGGAAGAACAATGTGGATTCCGTTCGGGTCGCAGCACTATAGATATGGTGTTTGCGGCTTGTCAATTGCAGGGGAAGTGCAGAAAACGACACCAGCCATTGTACTCGCTTTTTGTTGATTTCACCAAGACATTGGATACGGTGAACCGCGAGGCATTGTGGCTGTTGTTGGGTAAGTTTGGTTGCCCGCGTAAGTTCGTAAGTTTCATTGAATGTCTGCACAGTGGTATGCGAGCGAGAGTGCAGCTGAATGGAGATACTTCGGATGACTTTGTAGTTGTCACTGGTGTGAAGCAAGGCTGTGTCTTAGCTCCTGCCCTGTTTAATATATATCTTCATTCAATGTTGTCCTGTGCTTTTGATGCGGCTTGGGATTACGGTGTTCGTGTGGAGCACCGTACTGATGGTGAGTTGCTGAACATCCGTCGTTGCGGCGCAAGCACCCTAATGTGTGAGGCAACTATCCATGTGTTGCTGATTGCTGACGAATGTGCGTTGTTTTCATACAGCGCGGATGAGTTGCAGCACATGACTAGTGCTCTGGCTTCGACAGCGGCCAAATTCAGGCTCAACATCAACACAAGCAAAACTGTCTGTCTCTTTCAGCCTTCGCCGGAGATGCAATCTTCAATATTGCCGCGAATCAGCATTGGTGCTGAAGTATTGGAAACCACCTCCCGCTTCTGCTACCTAGGGAGTGTAAAGTCGACTGACCAGCAGCTACACAGTGAACTTTGTATCCGCGTCTCTAAGATGGCGGCGGCATTCGGGAAGCTAGAGTACCGAGTGTGGAACAACCATCAGCTTACCATTGGCACGAAGCTGATGGTGTACAAATCCATGGTGCTGTCCGTTCTTCTATGCAACAGTGAAACGTGGACGATGTACCGGCGGGATGTGCAATATCTCGAGAGGTCCCATCAGCAGTGTTTGCGACGGATTTTGCGCATCGGTTGGGGCGACAGAGTTGCTGACACGGAAGTGTTGTGTCATATTGAAATGTATGCAGTGGACTGCATACTTTTGCTGAGACACCTGAGGTGGATCGGTCATGTGAGCCGTATGGATTCAACGCGGATACCGAAACAACTCTTATTTGGTCAGCTGATTATTGGGAAGCGGCACGTGGGGAAACCAAAGTTACGTTACCAGGACATGATTAAAGTGAGTCTGTCACGTTCTAATCTTGATTGCAGATCATGGGAATCGAAGGCGGTTGATCAGCGTGCATGGCGCGATCTAATCACGAAGGCAGTTGCTGAAGTGCTGGAGAAAGCCCTCATGCATGCAGAGAAGAAGCGGCAAGCACGGATGTGTTGTTCTCCATCGACATCAAGCGCATGGTGCTGTAGCACATGCGGTCGCGAGTGCCTGAGTCAGGCAGGCCTAGTGAGCCATGAGCGAGGCCACTCGGGACCACTACCGAAGCGACGACGGGTCTTGCAGAGAACGTATCCGGAACCGGCACAGCGTTTGTAGGCACGCTGCATTCGATTTACTAACCGCGTACTTGCATGCTAAGTCTCTTTATTTCAGGTGGTGGGTTTTCAATTTTGTCCTAATGCTTTTCTCTCTCAAATAAATGTCCACCTGTACGCTCTTCTATAAACATGCACAACTCGCTTAAGCCAATTGTAGTCAATTTCGATAACATGTTCGCATTTGTGAAATTCCCGTAAAATATACTTTCTGACACCCTGAACTAATCTCGGACCCTTTGTTGACAACTTATTTCATATGCTCATTAATTTAAGATTTTTGTCACGTTTCCTTATGCATTAATCGATTTATTTTCTTTGTTAGGTTCTTCTCAAGTGATTGGCTGTTGCTTGATATCCCCGGTGTGGCTGCCCTTGATGTGCATGTTGACAAGGTGTCTTCCTGTCTACTACCCACTACCTCGTCCATACTGTCTCTAGATAGTTGGTCGCTGCTGGAGGGGACGGGGTGCACGATCCTTGTGTTCGTGCTAGGCTCGAAGAGTGGTTCCATGCACTCAGTGTGGAGTGGACTACGGTCCAGCCACCGCCTTGTGTGCGCTTAATTCCCCAAATACAGCGTGCTTGTCTTTCCCTGTGAAGGAGTGTGGGCCGGCTCCGTTGATGAAACGTGGCTCCCATCCACATGCCTCCCGGTCTTATTCCTTCGGGTTTACACTGGATATGGAGTGGGTGGTTGGAGCTGTGGGTGGTGCAGCGCAAGCCACCTATGATCCCTCTGTAGGCGCAGGCGTCCTGTGGCTGGCTACAGTGGCAGGCAAATCCGAAACCGGATGACGCCAACCATATATATATATATATATATATATATATATATATATATATATATATATATATATATATTGCGCATGTGGAAAATAGGAGTGCAACTAGAAAACAGCCCTTTCTTCCGAGTAAACTAACTGTTTTAAGTCAGCAGTTACGTATGGGATGACTGTCCTACGACACTGACTAAACTGGCTCGGGGTAAACGGATTGCTAAAAATTTGTGTGAACTAACCAAGCAAATAATTAGGCGAGTATATGTTCTGCATTCAACCGTAAGAACCCCGGTATCGAAAGCCCTCTATAGTGAACTAGGTTTTCACATATGTTGAAGCGTTATAGTCTGTCGTACTGTTGTTTTCAAGTGTGAAACTATAGATACTTTCATATGACAAAAGCAGCAGGCGCGGCAATAAGCCCATAGGAGCGCGCAACACCAGCGACGCTGTAGTCCGAATCATTCTATCACGCAAAAGGACAGGGATATACCATTTTTGATGGCCTGCGAAATTATCTGTAAGTAGTTCTAGTGGAAGCAATCACGACAAATCAGACGCTTAATGCGAAAACTACTAAAGAGCGCATCGTCGCCTCAAAAGTCGAAGCCATGCACAAATGTTGGTCATGATGAAAGCGAAAAAACGTCGGTGCAGATCGCTACCTTTAGATCAGGTTAGACGATGGGCGGCGACTTGCTCCGTACCACCAAGAATGTTACCTTAATTAATCCTAAATAAAGGTTACATGTGTGTAGTTCCCCGTTAATTCGGAATAAAGTTAGGCACTCAACTCCGCAGGCTAGTTACCACTGCCGTTTACCACAGGATTATCCGTACGTACTCGAGTCTCTTAAGAATACGGTTTAATTCTCACTAATGAATGCAACCATTCATATGAAACCGTAGCGATAGCAAGCTAACTGTGACGCACTAACTTGCCTAGTATCTAGCAGGAAATATCTCGTCACTATGTTCGACTGGTGGTCGGTACCTGATTTAGGAATACAAAGCAGGCAGAAAGCAAATGATAGCCGAAAGGAACATTGCTTTGTTCAATGGTTAAATCGTGAGCAAAGTTAATCACACCACCAGACGGTGTCACTGGTTTGGCGTTGGAAAAATCTGAATGACTTCATAGTGCGTTTGCGTAAGCCAAAATTGCAAAAGTAAATATACAAAACTGAGAATGAGCAGGCGAGTGATGAAAAATAATTAAAAATAGCGTCTACCGGCAGTATCTGCTCCGAACGAATCAGAGTCACTGGGCAAGTTACGCGTTAACTGTTGGCTGCAACCGGAAAAAACCAAAGATTGAAACGCGGTGGGCGGATCTCCGGGTTGTAATCGTTCCAACTCAGCACCTCGACAATCCAAAGTGAGTGTGGAGCCGCCACGGAGTGAGGGCAACTGGGTGTTATCATAATCATATTCGCTGGTAGGTTCGCTTAAAGGGAAGCACTGAGTGGAAGAACTTTGTGGTGGTGCGGTTACCATAACCGAAGAACGTAGAATAGAGAAATCCCCATCACAAGTGTTATTGCCAAACCGACAGGTCGTAGAATTTGAATGAAAGACGGGTAACTCGTGGGGATCAGTCAGCAGCGAGGGCGTCTGTTTGTATTTGCTAACTTTAAAATGCTGGGTGCTCAGACCTGAAATGGAGTCAGTAGTTTTGGATTCTGAGGTGAAGATCCGATTGCACATAGGGACAGCAGGTGTCCAATTGGGGTGGGATGGGTCGAAGGGTCGAGAGTCTGGAACAATCATGGGCGTTGGTGAGGAAACTCGACGAGAAACAGGGAGTACCGGAGTCTTCTTGTAACTGTATAGAGCACCATGTGTGGAGTATAAAGGATGAGAAGAAGGGAACGGTAATACCATTGGCAGGATCACATTCATGAGGCCGATGAGGGACTGAAAAGTAAGAGACAGTTATGGCCTTTTAAACACACTTCGCTAAATGCCAATAAGAGAACATTTGGATCAGCAATTGAATGGATAATATTTGCAACATCGTGGAAACCAGTAACGTCTGCTTTGCCGTGGCAATTATTGACAACATCTGAAGATCAGGATGTGTGTGTGAATTGCTCTCCGAGCTGAGCGGTTTTGTTGTACTTGTTGCGCTATCAGGTCCTCCTGATAGTCGCGCTGATGACGTTACCAAGTCTGTTAATAAAAAGTCGCCCAACTTGTAGTACCTCTTTCTTACCGTGTTATTAGCATTAGTAGAGTCCGTTAGGATGCATTAATGAGTATATGTTCAGTTAAGCATGTAACACGAAACCAGATGTGAAATGAAGAAAAGTGGTATCTATCGAACTTTTGCAACCGGTTTTGCAGCTAGCAGTCCCAATCCGCCATTCGGTAGACACTATAGTGATCTGACAAAAAGTGAGCCACGTGGTATTTGGCTAAGCTTTGGGCTAGATGAACTCAAGCAGACTGAAAACGAATCACTAGAGTTTAGGTTGCTGGCTGCTGGCTGTCGCATGATTTCGCATAAGCAGATACATTACTTAGGCCGCGACAGTATCAGAACTGAAAAAAAACAATCGATAAGGGCAGGGCATGAGCAACGCTAGTCCAAGTAGTGGTAATTAAACCCTAATGTAATTACACTAAGGTGCAGATTGTGATTATAATAAGAGCTGAAAATATCAAACACATTCGAACTGAAATGCCGACCATTTCCTGCCGTCCCTACTCTGCTATAGTTGGTGATAAAATGGAGTAAAACTAGCTATCAACCTGACTGTGATGAGTGCCAGGTGATTGGTTAAGGCGTCTGATTCGTAGTTCATTGGTTTCCGACTCAATCATGTGTAGGTGCGACTAACTCCGCATTATCTCTGGCCTGCGGACAAAAAGCGGTGACCGCATCGTAGCAAATTGTCGGTACGAAGTAGCAGTGAATTGCTTGTAACGTCATTCTGTGACAACCGGCAATGAAGACACCAGAAAAGTGCACCGGCGCGCGTTAGTAGACCACGGGGCACATTCAATGTGATGCGATGGGGATAAAGTAATGATTAGGAGCAAGGGAGCAAAAACAGCGCCATCAATTTGAGCTTGCGCCAAATTTGATAGTTTGTAAGAAAACAGTTTGGCAGACAAAGAATTGCCCCATCCAGAAAGATGGCATCTGCCCGATTCGGTCACAGTTCCCTCGCTTTTTAAGTAATACAATCGAGAAAACAACTAGTGCTCATCATCATCATCAACATCATATACGTTGGCTATGTATGAGAAACACTTCAACCATTGCGCCGCAGTACAACATAACTAGATGGTTGTAAGAAAAAACAGGGGCAAAACAAAAATGATATAGTGCTTTATGGGTCCAGACAAATCGTGGTTGGAGGGAGACTAGGCGGGGTGAGGAGAGACAAAGAAACTCATAACACAAACGCCAGAATTCGGATCTTCGTCACGTCAACAGGTGTATACATCCAAACGTGCTCATCATCCTTCGGACGCAACCCGGTAGTCGGGAGCATCCAGTCGAAGCCGAGTTGGAAGTGAGAGAACTCATTCTTATTGGCCAGGTGACCTGTAGGATCTTCTCCTATCATCATGGCCAACACCAGTACATCAGCCATTTGAGCTGATGCTTCGTGGTTGCACAAGCACGGTGACCTACCAAACAAAGAACAATAAGAGGGAGAGAAGTGGGACCTACGGTAAAACATTAATGCCCTAAACAAACACTAGGAGTCAAGGTGCCTACACCTCGTTAATAACATCGTCACAAACAGACAGCAACCACGCAAAGATCAGGCAGCATCAGCGAGACAGCTTCCTTGCGACCTTCACTGACTCACGTCATAATCAATTACTACATGGAGAGCACTCATCACCACAGACACTGTAAACACGCAATGCGACCAGGAAACGACAGCAGACTTGCAAATGGTGTCGACTGCGAGCCCTATCATGTAACGTCTCAAGGCAAACGTAAGGCGGGTCACGTGGGCTCCAGTATGGAAAGCGAGACGGACTGGCGGCACCGAGTTGGGTTGTCAGTGACTTCATTTCCCGCTGCCAAGTCAATTTTTGTCCATCTGTAGCCTTGCACCAGGCTCTCTATGTCAGACTAAACAAGGCCTTTCTCAGAAAGCGGTGACCTGGCACACGTAATACGTGCCCAAGCCAACGTAACATTAAGTGCCATCTGTTATTCTAAGGAACTAGCCTGGTTATCATTGCTCAGTATTCGCCTACGCACATCATTGCTGCAGCAGCAGTCAGCAGTGCTCCGCAGACAACGATGATCAAAGACTTGATGGCGCCGCAGGACCTCAGATCAGAGGGGCCAAGTTTCATTTGCATAGAGTAGGACGGCCCTCACTGTGGCCTTGTATACACGGCCTTTTAGACCGAGAGAAACTCCTCTCTGACGCCACGGATGTCGAATATTCAAAAAGCAGTTCTACCTTTTGCAATCCGTGAACTGACTTCAGTTGCTATGCGCCCATCGTTGCCGATGCAGCTTCCACGAGCTGCTCGACATCAAAGGTCAAGGGCTCTTCAAGTGGCTGGTAGTCCGGCAACAGCACTTGCACTTCGAAGATGCGAAGCACATGCCAAATGATGGGACAACTCTAGAGAGACAACTCAGGGTTGATTGCGCCGCCCCAACATCGTTAACAAGCGGGACAATAGCATCCACATAACCAAGATTAACCAACTTATCACTAGGAAGCACCTCAACACCTGCATCGTGAGGCTGCGCGAAGGAACACTACATGATGGAATCCACGACGAAGTAGAACAAAAATGGAAAAATGGACAAACCTGAGAAACGCCGCTTGCGGTCGGAAAGCTATCCGATAGGCCACCGTAGACCCTGACGCGCCTTGGTGTTCGAGCACAGAGCATCTTTTCGCACAAGTATTTCGAACAGAATGCAGCGATCGACTGACGAATGCACTCTTGAAATCTAACAGCATAGTTATTGTCGGTCTGCGGTATGCGTGGCGCTGCTCTAGGCCCTGCCGCAGGATGGATATGTGGTCCAGACAGCCACGCTCAAGACGGAAACTTGCATGTTCTTTCGCAGGCAGGTGATTCTCGCTCCGCAGTGAGGGGACAAACGAGAGTTGAGGCTAGCAATTTTGTCACCACCAGCGTAAGAGTTATACCTCTGGGGTAACCATAGTCGATGCGACTACCTTTCTTGTATATCCCCACTATGAATGATTCGCTCAAATTAGCTGGGGTGGTCTCTGCATTCCAGACCTGTTCGAATAGGTAGACCAGTGCTTTGCAGAAAACCTAACCCGCATCCTTAAATCATGCGGGTGCGAGCGGATCCGGACCAGCAGTACGAAAAGGATTAAGGGCTGCGATGGCGTTTCGGACCTCAGCCTCAGACGGAGTCTCTAAACTAACGGGCCATGGCTCAGCCTGCAACATTTGAGCAGAAAGAGGTCCAAAAGCAGGGGAATATCTGAAGTGCTCTCAAAAGCGCTCCTTATTGTGAATCAGGGCACCCGCACTGTCCCTGGTTGTTACACTGACGCCAGGTTTCTGGGCCCCGTGGTATGGATCAGCCAAGAGAGCTTCTGATAATTGCTTACTGTTTCTGCTTCCACTATTTCTTGAGCCCTATTGGTCCACCAGGCTTCTTTGTCAGCACGCAGGCTCCGCTTTAGTTCGGGTCTAATATTTCGTCTGGTTACATTGTGCTCAGAGGCAGCCAAAAGGTTTCTTCTGGATTCCAACAGGTTCACCGACCTCTCGGATATCCAGTGACTGATAGTGCCGCAAGTGGAGGCCCCTGCATGTTGCATGGTGGCGGAGATCCTATTCCACTGAATCAGTGTCATCGGGACAAGGGAGCGAACGTTCGGTACGCAGTGCATCCCGAGAGACGAGATGACTTTTCGGTTGCCAATGGGGAGACCTTGGTACGCCTCCCAGTAAAGGTCATGGAAAGATGACAGCGTACCAAGACATGATCAGATTCGACGCAAGTACTTCATAAAATGCGATAATCAAGGATGGAACCACGCCACCTGTAATTTATGGCAACGTGAGCTATTTAAGTCCAACGCTGGTCAGCTGCATGAGGACGACAAGAGGCACTTCGGCGACCAATGCGTCTAGAAGTGGTACTAATAAGAAACTGATGGTGCACCGCACACAGCTGTAACAGACGCTCGTCGTTGTCCGTCCGTTCAGAGTTAAGTCCATACTTACCACCTAACAAAGATTCTGAAGAGCTCAGACGACCTACTTGCCGAACAATCTCCTAGTGGTGCCAGCTGGGTGGTTCGGCATTATCCCGTTCCAGCGAATGGTTCGACGACAGTGTTCCAGGACGTGGTGGGTTTTCGCCTGGTAAGCGTTCTCCCTATAAAAAGCCACATATGTCCGTTTAACAACACTGTGACGTGGCAGATGTGACTCATCACTAAATAAAGTCACTGCCCCTTGCCTCTCTCTGAGCGGCATTGTAATTCAAGGGGTGTTGAGCCCCTGGTCCTATGGGGTTCTAAAGGTATATGAACCACTTGTTTGGGCACCGGCTCCCAACGGGTTGTGATACCCTCATATCGCTCTGCTGCCTTGTAGGTTAGATCTTGGATCAAAGGGTCGGGGTGGGGCACCCTAAGACAATCCTCCACTTCGGTCTGGGATACCCGTTAGTATCACGCCCACTGACGAACCATGGATAAATTACACTACTGCTTTCCCTCTTGCTATGCCTACTAGCTTTACTGTCTCTGCCGCTCAACATTCGCTCACAGATCGTCCCATGTACCGTTCTTCAACTACACCTGTCTTCCTTGGTCACCGTCAACAACAGCTCACTGGTCGCATCTGAAAGAGTTCTAAGCCAAATGTTTGGTGTTCGTTGCCCGGTGGTCACAACATCTGCACACTCAACCGAAGCATAAGCTTTCCTT